AAATACCCCCAGGCTCTTTGAATGTCCAACTCTTTCAACCTTTTAGGACCCCTGTGTCTTCTCCAACCTCCTCTAGACCTCATTATGACTCACTTCCCCAGAGTCATTCAGGATGCTGGGGAAGGATTCAGGAACTCCTCCAAGCAGAAATTCCCTCCAGGTGCCCTGGATGGTGAGGGGTTGGGAGTAGAGCAGAGAGAAGTTATCTTCTTATTCCAGGCCCCCAGAAGTCTAGTTCCCGGCCCTCGGGGGGCCACCAGACTCTTCCTCATCCTCCCTTTCTCCCAGTTCCTGCGTGGACTCAGAAGTTGGCTCTCCCAGTCTCAAACGTATGGATTATATCCTGCCTTGTTCTTCCCAGGGCTCCCTTCTGTTCAGTGATGTGTCTTTTTGTCTTTGTGTCTGTGTGTGCCTTTCTGGGTCTTTGTCTCCTCAGCCACAGTTCACAGCTGAGTGTCGCTTTAAGGAGTGCGTCTTTGAGAATTACTATGTCCTGTATGCCTCTGCTCTCTATCGCCAGCGTCGTTCTGGCCGGGCCTGGTACCTGGGCCTGGACAAGGAGGGCCGAGTCATGAAGGGAAACCGAGTCAAGAAGACCAAGGCAGCCGCCCACTTTGTGCCCAAGCTCCTGGGGGGTGAGTATGGACCCCCAGGGAAGAGGTGGACCACATGGGACGGTATTGACCTTGACATGGACATTTAGTGACACACAGCTAAGGGGCTATAAGTGTTTTAAGAGGACACATGCTATGACAGGTCAAGCCAGGAAGGCTTTGGCCTTTGGAGGTTTGGGGAGCTCTCCTTCTGTGGGTTCCCAGAGGAGGGGTGTAGGGGAAGGGAGCCCTTTCAGAGCTCTCCTGGTGCCTAACTCTCCTTCCTGCTCCTCTCTCTCCCCTTCACAGTGGCTGTGTGCCGGGAGCCTTCTCTCCACAGTCTCCCTGAGACCTCCCCTTCCAGTCCCCCTGCCCCCTGCCATGTAGTCCCCGGACTGGAGGCTCCCTGCACTCGCCACCACCACAGCCTGTCTCCCAGCCCTGCTTCTGGCCCTGCTCTCACACCTGCTGCCACACTCATGCCCTGAGCAGCCATGTCCCACCAGGTGCTCTAGCCTGAGGGAGCCTAGGGGCCAGCCAGGACTTCCGGGGCTGCTGAGACTCTTAGATCCTTGGGCCTGGGAAAGGGGTCAGAGAGGGGGATGTCTGAAAATGGTCCTGGCTGATCACTTCTTTCCTTCCACACTCACACCCTCCAAAGCCTTTTCCTGAGATGGCACGGGGGGTTCCAAAAGTGACAAAACCAGGGCATAAATCTTCCCCACCCTGGGCTCAGACAGTTACTGGAGCCCTTTGCCCTTTTCATGGCCACCAAGCCATAGACTTATAGATCCACTGCAGCTCAGGATTAGTTTCCTTCTTTCGCTACTCCACCTTTTGCCTCTTTCCAGACAGGCTCTGGAACACCAGGCACCCCAGCCAGGGCCATTTCTGCACCCAGGGTCTGTGCTGGAGCACAGGCATGCTGCCAGGCTCTGTTCTGGATCCATCAGCCTTCTGTCCTTCACCCAGATGGACCCCTGGTTTCCAACTAGAGAGAGGCTGGATTTGGGCCCTGTCCAGCTGTTGGTCTTGGCCTAAATTGGGCCAGTCTCAGATGACCACAGGTTTAACTTTCTTACCCCAGAGACACCCAGTTCTAGAGCGTGGTGTTCTAGACACATACGGAGCCATACTTCCTTCTGAATCTCAGCTCTAGGACATAGACCACGACTCTCAGCCCTTCCCTCTAGGATGGAACTAGAGCCTATATAGGCATGTTATTGCTCTAGAGTAAGAGTTCTAGACCCACGCTGCCACCTTCTCTCGTGATACCTGTTAAGCAGGAGCTCTGGAAAGGACCCAGCTATGATTCACAAAGAACTAAGTTCTGGATGGATCATCCAGAACTTCTTGTTTTCCCTAGACAATTTTCCAAAAATCTCATTCTTCCTATAGAATGCTAACCTTATTTTTTACATGCAGTTTCTAGCTCCTGCAACTCAGCTGGGGCCCTGCCGGGGAACAGAGGCTGAGGAAGGGCAGAGGAGTTTTGGAAGGACTCCCTGGCTCATAGAAGGGCAGCTAGGATGGAAAAGTGGCCAGAACCACTTTCTGGCCTGGACCTGTGCCTGGGTTGGGGGGACATGAACACTTAGCTACCTCAGCAGGAATTCCTTCCAGGT